GATTCTAGCGTATTCTAGAATGTTCTAGTGACTGGAACGTTCTAGAGTATGCTGGAATCGGACCATCGGGAAGAATCTAGAAACGACGCTTGCGAAGAGTATATAAGCGCACGTCGCAAGATATTTGTGATTGGTGATATTCGTGATTGGGATATTCGTGATTAGTGATATTCGTGATTAGTGATATTCGTGATTAGTGAAATTCGTGATTTTGTGAATAGCGATTCGGTGAATTATTTAAAGCGATATTTGAATTGTTTGTTGACGTTGTCATAGCGATAGATTTTGAAAGATTTAAAAGTTAATTGTTGCGTTAGTGCGAATTTACTGGAAATAAACGATTAGTTGATTTCTTCTGTAAATAAAGTTTAATAACTAATAATAGTTGATTTCTTCTGTAAATAAAGTTTAATAACTAATAATAGTTGATTTCTTCTGTAAATAAAGTTTAATAACTGTTTGGAGTATTTTATTCAATCGAAGATTTGAACCCGTCGCATCGTAAACCGGTTACGACAGCGAGTATTATGACAATATTGTTGTATCTTATAAATACTTATATATCTGTGCGATCAGACTTTATTGGCTCCAATATACATATATATATATATATTGTTGTATCTTATAAATACTTATATATCTGTGCGATCAGACTTTATTGGCTCCAATATATATATATATATATATATTGTTGTATCTTATAAATACTTATATATCTGTGCGATCAGACTTTATTGGCTCCAATATATATATATATATATATATATATATATATATATATATATATATATATGAATATACATATATATATATATATATGAATATATATATATATATATATATAGTTTAGAACGAGTATTTCTTTGACGCATGTGTCATTGAAATTAAATGCCCGCTGTGCGTTCAAAAGTTTTTTTTTTAAAGATTCAATGCGACGTAATTGTTTATATTCATATTTATTTGGATCATCCATAAATTATCAATTCGGGTCAGCTTACAGCGCTGCTTCAGCTGCCATCTTCGGAGCCAAATTGAAATACTATGAATAATGTTGTAATAGTAATTAACATGAATGATGTGAATTAGGGTATATAATTTATATTTATAACTTAATATTTTGTATTAACTTTGATAACTATTGAAATCTAACGTTAAATAAAGGTGGCCTGTTCACAAACTCGCTGTAGCTTATTTTGGCTTCGTTAATATGATAAATAATTTTAGCATAGTACATACATACGTTATACGTTGCAATTAATAAAAGGTGGCCTACGCTCTAATTCTAACACAAAACACTGAAAAGCTTGAAAATTTTATTGCAGTCACTTTGAGCTACACAGTTCACTACGTCATACATGTGCCAATAAAACAAGCGGAAAATTAGATAATGCGCGGCACTAAACTTTGCATTCTGTAAAACAAAATCATTAATGACAATAACAACAACAATAATAAAAGTAACAGCAGAAGCAGCAGCAACAAGAGTAATAAAAAGCGTTGGAAAACAACTGAAATGTAGGAGCAAGGAGAACAGCGATCCGCAGGGATTAATAAGAGTTTTTATAATCAAGCTTCAAAGAGAATTTCAACAGTAATTTCAAACTTTTGTTATCGAGCAAATGTTGGTATTAAAAACTAACCAACAACAACTTTTGTAAGGAGCGTGATGTCCGCGATGCATGCTCAAATGTTCATAATTTGCTCATCCCGCTCAAATATTTTTTGGGAGATACAATGCAATTTATTCAAAACGATCTTCAATACAAAAATCTTGTAGATAATAAGAAGAAAAATAGAAAGAAAAGAGCATAGCTCAGAAAAAGAACAAGCTGCCATAAATAACTGATAAACAAATCTAGCAGGACAATTTGCATGGACATCCTGGAAACACTTTTGCGACAAGAAGCAGTAAAACAGATTACAGACAGTGACAACAACAGGAAGTTCCTTAAACAAGAATTTTTAAACAAAATAATTTTAGGTTTATCTGCTAAGTTCAAATTTACAAATTTTTAAATGGTAAAGATCGCAAATTTTTGTTAATTACAATGTGTAATTACGCTGAGAATAAATGAAACAGATTCTGTAGTTGTTAAAAGCATTAAATCGCAATTTGATAGTTGTTTTTCAGTAAATAGAAGCAACATCAATGGAATCAACATCACATTATATCACAGCACACAAACACGAGAGCATCAACATAGACAGCCAACCAAAACAATGGTTGACAACATATGAAAGTTTTATAGCTGTTGTTTGACAACGTGCTGTCAAAAATTTGTAGAAAGAACCAACCAACCACAAACAAAACACCAGCCTAATTACTACTAGCAACGTTATGGTAAAAACGAGATATTAATTTTTAATTATTCGAGGTACACCAGATAAGGATTAGGATTGCTCTGCTACACCTCGTTTCCTCACACTGCTGATGGTGCTCACCATTCTCCACAAATTCGTTTGTAGTTGGTGTTATTATCAACTTTTTAATGATGCATTATCATTATTTGCGGCAATATTTCATTGCTGTTTATATTGTTTTTATGGACAACACTAGAAAATTTTAATCAACAGCGCCATAAAAAGCATCTCGACTCCTCAAGCACTTCATTCTGTTGGCCACTCGAACAGAATGATGACCCCGATGAGGACAGTGACGATGATGACCATGAAGATGACCATGCAGAGCAGCACACCACCTTTAATCTCATCCACAAATTCAACTACCAAATAGATGATAAAAATGAAAAATAATAAGTTGCTGCTATCTTTCTAATGGTTACTCCTCATGAGGCAATGGTGACGTGAGCAAGCTTCATTAAGTCACATTCCATCTCGTTGTGACGATAACATATCTACTTCACACAAACAAAATAATTTAATAGTGTTTAACAGCCAGACAATGACTGGTTGTGCAATTTTAAAATTTTATTTGTTTGAAGCAAATGAAAGACCTCCCTTCAAATTACAACAACGCAAAAACAGATGCTGCCTGTTTCGCTTAATTTTGAAAAATTATTTTGACATCCATCTGCAACAAAAATTTTATTCCACTGAAAAATGGCAATGTCTACCATTCAACTAGAAATGCTCAGAAAAAGTTCATAGGACAAAACAATAATTTGCATACGTTTGCATATCCTCGGACTGTTCAATTCGTAACAACAAGCCGCAAACGAGGACGACGCGAGCCCGTCGAACATGATGCGGCACCATCGAAGAGGAAGAGATCGTTCCATGCCAAGCGCCACATGGAGTGTGGGGAATGAAAATGTTAGATAGTAAGCAGACGAACGATGATGCGACTGAGACAGAAAATTTTTTGTTGAGACTCATTTGTCATCAACATTTGGTCTAGCGAAGGTGTATGCAAAGTTGTTAGTGATGAAGATATCGATATGATGATGGTGGTGATGATGCTGATGTTATGATTCGATTGACAATTTGGTATTGCCGTCATATTTATTAATTAGATTGTTAGTGAAATTTACACCATTCTTGGAAACAAAAGACTTGTGATGAAATAATAATATGTGAGGAAAATGATAGGGCTTCGATGTGGTTAACTAAGTAAATTGTGTCATGTTGTTAACTGCGCAGAATTAAGATTTAGCCAAGACACCACCTACAGCATATCTTCTATACAGGATCTCAGTTTGCTCATTTAATAATTATTTCTGCTAATTTTCATACGTTGTTGGAATAATTGATTGATCAGTTAATCATTCCATTAGAATTTAGAAGATTGATTAATTGATTGAATGAAACAATTAATTGGTTGATAGATTGGTAACAAAAAAGTTTTTGCTAAATATTTATACATCATCATTTGAACGGTTCTTTATATACTTCAAATGTATTTTGTTTTCGAACTTTTTAAATTTAAAAGAATTAATACGTTATTTCTATTCATGAAATATTTAAAATTCTTACAAACTTCATTAAAATTTTATTTAAAATATTTAAAAGTATTTTTTCATTGTTATATTTTCCATTTTTGTTTCCCACATTTTCTTCCATCTAACAAAGCAACAAGCTCAAATTCGTGGCGAAGGCAATATCATTTTGTTCTGGCAGTTTGTTTATGAACGTAATTTTGCATACAATGATGATGCATCTTACAATGGCACTGCATGCATGTGCGGGAAATATTTTTGCTTGTTTGAAAAAAATGGCATTTCATCGATAGCAACATCTAAGTTATGACTGTTCATTGTAAGATTGTTCAATATTATGTACAGAACGAAATAAACAAGTTTTATTGTGTCTGGTTAAGTTATATTGATAATTATTATTTCATTCAAACTTTTTAATTATTTGTTTTATGTTAGTTCAAAAAATTATAAGGAAGTTAAATGCAGACTAAATTGCGAATAAATAAGAAACGGAAACCAAATCAATAATGATGGAGAACGTGCAGCGTAACGGGTTTATTGTAGAATCAAATTGTACGACACGCCGATTGTTATCTTTCCAAGGATACTTGGATATATTCCATTTGAATGTTTTACTTATGAAAAAATGAATCAATTGTTTAGCGCTCACATAGAAAATAATTAAACTAGCTAAATAATAATTATACAAAAAAATTAATCAAGTTATTTGAGTGTCTTACCTCGGGGGAACAGGGTCTCTGGACGCTAAACGAAGATTGATTGATTGATTTGAGTGTCTTAACATTTTGCATTCAAAGTTTGAAAAGTTTTTGAAATGTTTATGAATACTTCAAATTTGATAACTAACATTTTTTTTTACATTTTTTCACATATAATTTTTAACTGCTGCTAAATTAAAAACTGAAAATTAATAAGAAAAACCAAACTTTCGAGTATCTTCAATAGTTCACTTCAACTTTTTACAAGTAAACAACAAACGCACATGCACAAGCGAGGAGCCATGTGCAAAACATTCAGACACTTGCAATGTTGGAATGAATTATTAATAATGTCAAGAGCAAGTTTATAAAGTAGCAATTGTTAAACAACTTTTGATTGACCAACTTGTAGATAAAGCATTGGATCTGTGCCTGTTGCGTCCCATCATCTGACCTCACGATGTAGATCACTCTTGATGTCTCTTTCGCTTCTTTTGTTGATGACGTTTTCTGAACTATTTTAAAATTTTGAACGTTGTTGTTGTTGGGGATGATGCGGCTATTAAGATTCAACCAAAATATTCATAAGTTGAACGTTTCCGCCAATGTATCAACAAATTTAAATAAATTTAATTTTAAACGTCTTCAGCAGTTGAAATTCTACGTACACCACTCATGCGTTTTCAGTGAAGATTTCTTTTGATGAAACTTCCTTGGAAGACCTGTTTCATTCAGATTTAAAATTAATCCGTTGTTTAAATGTTTAATGTAAAAAATAACAAAAAAATAAGTTTTCAAACTTTATACGGTCTTAATGATTTCATTCTCATTTTGAGAAGTTTTTGAAATGTTTTTAAATGCATCCGATAGGTTATGACATAGTTATACACAAATATAAAATATAAAAAACTTGTCAAGCTATTGTAAATTAAAAACTAAAACAACTTCAAGCTCAATTCAACATTTAATCCGAAACTGATTGAATGTTTGAAACACAATTCAACAATGAAATAAACGATGATGCTCGGGTATTTTATTACGTAGCAACATATTTCCTTTTTCCGATTTAAAACATTTCACTCGCCACATCGTTGCAAGCTACAAATTAAAAAAGCAAAGCCATTGCATGTTATAGAGTAAGAGTGGCTTCAAAGCAATTTCATTATACAAGGAAAAGTATTTTTTGAAATATAAAACATGACATTTAATTGAGATCCCACGAACAGTTTATGCTGAAACTGAAAAATAAATAAAAGCCAGATTTTATTAATGTTTTAATCTATTTTGTATCAACTATATTTATTAAAATGAACTCATCCAACACAACCTTGCATGGATGGCCTAATTTTTCACAATAATTAAACTAGAATTGTCCAAAAACGATCTGTCAGTTTGTTTTGAAAAAGCGAAATAGTTGTTGATACGAATTTATCAAATTTTATTCTTTAAACCATTCTCTGTCAAACACAGAAAATGTTACAACATGCAAAACAATACAAATAATTAGGCATGTAAATAACAGTAATTAAAACTAATTTAAAACATATGAAATGATGTGTAGTCTATGCAGTGTGGCTAATGAAAATAGATTGTTTTAATTAAATTAGGATAACGGTTTAAAAGACAAACATAAATAAATTTAAAAATATATGAATCTTTTCAATTGAACCCTTTAGAGCTAAAATATTATGCTGATTATTATGTGAATGAGTATGTGACTCATTAAATGTAAATTAAATGGGTTTTTAATGAATGAAATGTTGTTAAGTTATTATTGCATATAAGTAGATAGATGGGTTGAAACGAAAGAACAAGAATTGTGATTGTAAATTAATTTTATTTTCACTTCATTTCTATTCTTTCAGTGGCAATGAATGCAAAGCCTGGGCGAGATGCGTGTGCGTCCGGAGTCGGCAAACTGCTAAGCGTACAACCTTTTATTATAGGATTATAAAGGACTTATTAACATTTTGTTGTTAAAATTGCGGCTGGCATGTTCGGTGTTTTGGCTCAAAAATGGACAAGCGAAAGCGAGCGATAGAAATAAGTTGTTAAAACTTATAACTTAAAAAAAACGTTTCTCAAACGTTCAAATGCCATGACATGTTTGAGCTCAAATTGGCGCCGGCCAGCGATTCTGAAAAGAACAATCAATGCAGCCCAGGCTAGATGGACGCTCAGTCAGCTACCTTGTTGATCCTGCTAGTAGTCATATGCTTGTCTTAAAAATTAAGCTCTACATGTCTAAGCACAAACTATAACACGATGAAGCTGCAAATGGTTCATTAGGCCACCCATGAATTTTTGGATCGTAAATTTCTACTTAGATAACTGTGATAATTCTATAGCTCATACATGCAAAAAAGTTCGGACTCTAGCTAGAACGAACGCGTTTATTAAATCAATGGAGTAAGCGAAAGCTGAAGTGCTACCATGGGCGTTACGTGAGGTGGACAGGCTCAACAGGAACCATGAAACGATTGGCTAACGCAAGCGGTGAAGATTTGGGCTGTAACAGATCTTCTACATAGGATGGGTGGAGAAATGTGATAGAGTAGTTTTATGCTATTTTACTGCGAGTTTGAAAGACTAGGATCAACAATATTAATTACCATATTACATCATAAACATCAAATCACGCCAAACTTCATGCCGGCTCGGACGTCGCTCGGGTGAACAAGGTCGGCGTCCCTTATTATTCCAAAAAGGGCCAAAAAACTAGCCACTGGACAAGAAAAAATCAAACTAAAGCATATGATCATCAGAACAAGACTTGGCAAAACACAAGGGTTACAGCCGGTCTGCAGAGGATATAAAAGATCCATCCCATACCATTAAATGCTAAAATTCGTATTCTGCACATGTTAGTATGGCCGGTAGCAATTTATGTTTGGAAGGTTAGACATTGAAAAAAAAGATGAAAAAAAATTAAAACATTTGAAATGAAAAATTTAAGAAAAATCTGAGGGTGACAGAAAAACCGACAAATGGGTTCTAAAAACGACTGGATTACATCAAAAATTACTGCCTTAAGTCAAAAAGAAATAATTAAGCTACATTTGTCACATCTTCAGGAAACACCAATGCATTAAAAAAGATATAATAAAAGGGACGCTGTCCGAATCAAAGCGAAGAAGAAGGCAGTGAAAAAAATGGATCGATGACTTAAAAGATTGGACGGATTTAAAAATGGAAGAGTAGCTGAGAAAGACGCAGGACAGAGTTAACTGGAAAAACATGTTTATGATGCAGCCTATTCTGGAATTGAGGATGGTTAAAGACAAGAAAGGACAATCGCATTTGAACAGTAATATAAAATAAAATACAAAATTATTATTAAAAATAAAAAGACAAGTTTAATTAATGTATAGATAGTTATTTGGAAAAAAAAGAAGAAAAAAGTTTGAAAGCAAAAAATAGATGAATGAATAAATGAATGAATGAATATAATAGTGATATAAAAATATATTTAAAATTGTCAGTTTAACTAACTATTAGACATTAGTGATTGGATTGATAATGGGTTTTTTTATTTTGTAGTAATAAATAACTGATGAGGTCATATTTGTGTTTGCGTTCTCTTTCTCTCAAGTTTATGCGTCTGTGTTGTTGAGTGGTAACAAAGGGTAAATGATATGATTAGTGTTTGGTTCTACCTTTTTTGGAATAGGCGTGCTAAAAATGTGTGCAATGTTTGGCGTATGATTTCGGTAAATATTACAGGCGGGTAAGTTTGCTGCTGAGTCATTATAAAATTTAGACGCTGCAGTTCTTGCTTGGGGGCAAAACTAGACCAAGATGGAGAAAGCGGCATATTTGATATGCTAAAATAGTTGATTTTCAGTTACATCAAAAATATTTTTGCCCATGTGTTTGATGTTTTGAGGACATAAATGATTGGTTGAATATGAACCAATTTGAACGTTTGAAGTTAAACCCTGTTAAAGCAGAGTTAATTTGGTTTGGATCCCAAAAGGTTAAAGCCGAAATTGGTAGTATTATACAACTTTTGATTTTTTTGGTAACCGGTTGCACGCAGTTAAGACGGTTAAAAACTTGAGAGTACTATTTGACAATTTATTGACTATGTTACCACTTGCAGTGAAACTTTTTACAACTTGTTTTCTACAGCTGCGTAATTTATATCAAACTAAAATATGTCTCTCAACTGATATCTTCACTAGTCTTGTGGTATCATTTGTATTGTCGAGGTTAAACTATTGTAACTCGTTGATGTTTGATGCCGGAGTTCAACGCATTCAAAAAACTTCTGCAAGACTATTTGTTGGGCTTTCAAACTTTTTCTTATTTTATTCTTATCAATTTAATTTAGAAAATTTATCTGAAAATTAATTCTGATGCAAAAAAATTTGATTTATTACTTTTATTAACAATGGATAAACATTAAACAGAAATGTCATCTTTTTTCATTTTTTTTTAAAATTTCGAAAAGACGGTTTTGCAACAAGTTTCTTAAGTTTTACATATTGAACTCATGCGCCAATCGACTGAAACCAAACTAGCAAACATGTATCTGCACGCACATTTATCTATAAAATATTTATGAAATCACAATACAGCAAAGAGAAAAATCTATTGAGAGCTGTGAACCAAGAAATGGAAAAGAATCACATCAAGTTGTGAACCACGTCGAATTGTGAACTTTTCTGTAGGAAATAAAAATTAATAAAAGATTAATTAAAAACTTTGTTTTCTGAAGAAATAAGTTGAAAACAATGATGAAAAATAGGTACAAAAAATTAAAAAATTGTACCAGAAATTGATCAAAGCTGAAAATTAAATGATAATTCTTAATAATTGTATTTACTCACGACAGTTTCAACCCCAATAACATATATGTATATAAGTGTGTGTGTATGTGTGTGTGTGTGTGTGTGTGTGTGTGTGTGTGTGTGTGTGTGGTGTGGATATTCATATTCCTAGGAATAAATGTGCAAAGGTTCATAGTGGTTGAAGACGAGTGTTTGCATTGCAATCATGGGTTGGCGTTGTGGAAAAGCAAGAAATATTAGAGTCTGGTTTATCCTGTTTGCGATATTTCCTCACAAACATCACTTTTCATAATTATTAATCAAACTTTTAAAATAACGAGCTTGTTTGAAAAAGATTGTATGTATAACAGTTTCAAATTATCAATTTAAAAATAAAAATGTTGATAGAGCGTTTAATGCAGTTTCATTAAAAATTAAAAATATTTCTTCGTTAATCAATTATGAGAATTTTGTAAATGTGTGTTTTCACGTTTCAGTTTAATTTTATCAAAACAGTTAAAAAACGAAGCTTTTGAAATTTTCAAATAAGTATGTAAAGAACGTGAATAGTAATAGAAAGAAAAGAATTGCCACACGAACGTTGAGAATCTCATCTAGACAAAAGGAAAAGATTGTTCTTATCGATCAGGGCATTCAAAACACTATTGTTCGTCATTTATCGTCGACGTTGTCATCATCCTCCTACCACATTATTACAGGATCCATCTAGGTTGTCTTCGTCACCATTGCATGATCTCTGGGTTATCGTCACATTGACATCAACTTCTTCATCGTCGTCAAAAGAACTGAAATCAAATGGTCCTCAATGCCCCTAATGTGGTAAACTATGCGCATCAGATTTTGGATTAAGAAGTCATCTACGATCTCACAGAAGGCCGAATGTCACTTGATAGCGACTCAACGTCCTCGCCATTTCGGTGAACACAACA